TCTTTTTTCACCGGGCCGAACTTGCTGGGTCTGGCTTTGCAGAACCGTGAGTCCGATCGATGAGGTCCCCCACAGTTTCGGCACCGTGTGGGGGTTTTGCACTCCGTTTCGGAATGCATTTTTGATCCGCAGTTCCAGCAGGCCAGAGCGCGGGAGCAAGCGCGAGAGGCATGGAAGCCAAGACATTGTTTGCACTGAACTATGTTTCGACGAGGTTGGAAGAGCTTTGCCACTCTAGAGTCATCGAAGAGGCGAAAGCCAGGTCGGGGCGTGGATTCTGGAGAGAAGAGCGCTTGCCAGTTCTGGTATGGCGCTCCAGGTTCGCAGATGCCAAGAGGACGAACAAGAAAAGGAACTCATTTGGTCACTCGCGTGACTTCGTCGGCGACCATCTTTTTCGCGCTGAAAATGGAACCTGTGAGTGTGTTAATTCTCACCGGAACGGTGGCAATTTGAAGGGCAACCAGATTTGATGCTGGTTCTAGTTTGATTCCAGATTCGCACCGGGATGTGGAGGAATCTAGAAGCTCTTTTCGAGCGAGTTCAACCTTTGCGGTCATTGCAAAGCCGGTCTTTACCCGCTGAACCAGCGTGATCTTGTTGGCAGCGATACCGAGCACCTCTGAGACAGCTGATCTTACGCCAGCTGGTGACAGGAGTCAGTGAGGGTGGCTGTATTTGAGGGGTGGAAACAGTCGTATATCAGCTGCTGTCCTCGAGTTGGCTCCATTTGCTTTTGGGCCAGAGTCTGGGTTGTCGCAGGGCTCGGTACCCTTATTTCTTGAACTCTCGGTGGAGGGTGGTTGCTGGGGCACGCAGGGAGAACTGATGGAGTGCTCCCTGGGCCTGATTGTACGAGCTGGCCAATGGCCGCTCGAAGGTAGAATTTGATGCCGTCTACAAACTCTTTTTCTTCGCCAATCGAAAGAGGCGAAAGTGCTACTTCAACACTGCTTCTTGCAGTGGATTAAATTGCTAGACGGGCCTTGATCTGCGTCGTGCGACGTTTTTCGGCCTCCATCATTGATTGAAGCTCGGGGGAAATTCTTGTGCTAAAGTTGAAGCTGTACTTTAAGAGGATGGTACAGCCAATTTTCTTGCAAACGCTTCTGTGTGTTCTGTCGTCTTCTCTCGAACGACTTACTTTCCTTTGCTGGAGCTGCTTGTGACGGGCTTTGCCCGGATTGGGACTGGTCACTAGGATCACTCCGTCTCCGAGGTAAGGTAGTGACAGGGCAACGCTCCTGGATAGACGAAAGGGGAGCTAAGGAGGTACGCACCAGATGGGGAGTATGATACAGGAGAAGAGTTGTGCCGGGAGAAAGGATGATTCTCAGGGGCCAAGGAAGGGAGTTACGACTAGTCTACACAGAGCATATAACGTATGGGAGAGTACGTGGTAGACAGTCTTCCCAAGGAATAAGTTATTAATTCCTATTGAGTTATTGTCTTTCAAGTACATCTGAATTCATTAAACCCTTACACTGCTTGCCTCTAGGGCAAGCTCGATGGGAATGTGGGCCTTGGGACTAATTTTTACTGACCTGACGGGCTCAGAATCGTTCATTTCTTTGTCGGAAAGGTTTGGACACTTCCCTTCGACGAAGGCCTCACTCGCAAACATGCTTGAAAGTTTTTGCGGGAGCCCTTGGGCGGACTCTCGCGCTGTCCAACATTGCGTTGGGGAGCTTTATTCGAACAAGTGGCATGATAAAATTGCCAGCGACTCAATCACAATTTATTGACGAATGCGACGAGCGCGAGAGAAGGGGAAAAAGGGAAGATTCGAAAATTCGAGTTTCAAAAAATTGTGGTTGTTTTGTGAGCTAGTACGACGTTAAATAATGATAATAACTGTTTGAATTATTAAGGTGTAGTTTGACGGTCGATTGTAATGATTCAGTAAAGAGTTGTACGATTCTGTGTTGGTCTACATGTTCATAAGTTAATAATCTCACACTGAAGATGCTCCTTCATACCAAGATTGGCATAGAAAAAACAATTCAATACATTGACAGCACTAGAATCTCAACCAGGGCATGGCATCTAGAGAGAAGCGATGAGAATTCAGAACGGGAATAAGATAAATAATAGCTGGAACAAAATTTTAAAAGATAAATTGTATAGGAATTTAAAATTCAGAATATAAAAGATAAAACAATATATATATATATTTTAAAAGGGAAATAAAAATTTCTCCCTATCTATATCATAGGGCTTGACCCTCACTGTCCATGAGAACATAGTTAAAAATTGTAAAATTGGAAAGGAAATAATGTAGCTAGTATCTTAAATATAGATTCTAGGAGTCCTCTATAGTCATTGACTCAGTTAGGACTAAAATATAAATCTAATCTAATCTACATTTTCATAATATGTCTTTTCTTTCTACGCTCTACAGGATTCACACCTATACTGTGGATCCGGGTTGGATGGTGCAGTGGTACACCATCCGGGCCGTTCTCCCAAGTAGATACTGGGTAGCCTGAACACCTATCCCATTCGAGACAGGAGAAAGCTGGTTCGAATCCAGTAATACCTACACACTACACTCTCTCGCGGTGATATTGTACTTGTGGGATGATGAAAGCACACTCAGATAGCCACAGGGCTTTCACGCTTTTCCCTGTGGTGGGTATGCACGGAAGAGGTTGTACGCCGTAAGGATTAACCTCAAGTGGTATCTGCAAATGAAATCTGAGTGTGAGTGTTCTAAATTTCAAAATTGAGTCATCCTACTGAAGTACATATCTCCCGATAAAACCTGCATGGGCCTCAAGGCGCCAAATCAGGAAAAATGAATAATATATATATATACTGTGGATCCTGGCTAGCGCATCCATGCTAACGTCATCATGTGATCCCAACATGATGACACATCTACTTTTACGTCTTAGATAAACCGGCGATAATAAAAATAATACAAAGCAGTTTGGTAATGCAAATAAGAAGTGAGCACATGGGCCTTAACTCGTATTTACACAGAAGAAAAGTACCCGGATTATTAAGTCCAGGTTGTCTATGTGGCTATCAATCACAGAACCCCAAGCATATGAGTATGTTCTGCCCCCGATGGTCAAATGGCAGAGCTGAGATCTGGAGACAAGCTAAAGATCGATCCTACGAAGCGATGATAAACAATCCTGGAGATATAAAAAGGTTAGCACAGTGGATCCTAAACCATGGTTGGATAGAGCAATTCCAGATGACAAAGGTGGTCGAAATGCTACTGAGGGAAAGGAACAGGTCATGCCTTTCTTGAGGTCGATAAAGCTGATGTGGTTAGTTTACATGGATGGCACTGTAGTGTAACTGCGCTTCCTGAAGAAAATATGTGAGAACTATAGACAACAAGCAGAAAGGTGTGGGAGGTTTTCACCATAAAGGTTTCCTCCCGGGTAAATATTATAGATCGTAGACACCTGCATGGAACGATAGAGCGCCAAATTAGGATAATGAAATCAAATTCAAATAATAAAAAAATACTCCACTTGGGAAGGAAACGCCTTAGACCACATTTCGCGCGGAGAAAATTTAGTGAAAGATTGAGGCACTAATGCATACCTAGAATTTTTGAGACGTTTCCCTGGATCGGTATTTACGGACAAGAGTTGACTTAAGGTGAAGAAAAAGCCACAACTTCGCAGTGGTACTTGCAAATGAAATTCGTGGCACGAGTGCTCTAATATTAATGTCTGGATCTCTCTGATTGGCCCGAAGTGTAGGCCTTCACGCACGGGTGTTGATCGCACTAGGGCCTTGGCACCTATATAGTATAACTCTCTGTAGAGTGCTTAAATAAAGAATCAAGAACAAATTGACCAACCATTATCTATCTACTAGCAGATTCAGCCTGTGCTAACACTATTCAGTGGTTGAAAAACCGCAGATTAGCAAGGTATTTAGAAGAGACAGTTCGTGACGGCCTTGTCTACGTACATCTGTGCTAATTACGATTAAATGGCGCTGGTACTTATATGAGTTTACCTCATAGGAATAGGCCACAATTTACTCGACGTACTCCAACAGCATACGCAGCCGAAAGCTCGAAGTAAGCCAAGCGTTTTATCATCAGAGCTAATTCAGCCCTGACCAGTACGAACCGTCCTGTACCTTGACGCATTCAATAAAAGCAACTCTATCCCCAATTTACGACCGGGACAAAAAAAACCTTAACAATCTTGCAGTCGACAAATCATGTTGAAGAAGACGCGCAAACTCGAGTAACAAATCCACTAGCCATTCCACGCCGATCGTCACAAGCTATATCAATCCACCCGAACCGTTTCTGCAAGCCCAAGTTATCGACTTTTAAACTTGTTCGTCGACTTTGTATATTGGTCTGTTATCACAGACATTGGAAATGTTTGTTGAGATTGCTTAACGAGAGGCTAGGATTGATTCCGTTATAATTTGGTAGAAGACCTGTCCCAACTATCAGAATGCTACAACGTCTTTATCTATCTATAGATAAATTCCCCATATTCCAACCACGCTAGCCATACAGGACCTAGCATTCAAAACTTGATTTGTATTGTCATTTTGGGGCTGAGGCTTACCATGCATATGCTACTTGAGTCGCATGTCTGACTACTATGCGACACGCTCAGGTATCAATCTAATAACCCACACCAAACCGAAACTGCTCACAACCCTGATGATGACCTCATGAATAATTGGAACAGTAGCCTGCAACATAGCACAATTAGGCTAGGCATTGTTGATCAGGACCTAATCCGAACACCAAGCAACAAAGGGGATACTAGTGTCACCTTACTAAATTCGACGTAAAAATGGAAAAGCTTGGAATACCAGATGGATACTGCTCTCTGATCAAGCATATCGACATATAAACTTTTGGTGAACTTCCAGATAGCCCTAGTAATAAACAACTCAATGGGTATGTCCTCGACCGCATGATTCAGTGTCGAGCAGTCGACCAGAAATTACAAAGTTATCTTGTAGAAGACTTCGAAAGTTCTACGAGACAAATGTGGAAATCAGCATATCGAGATATTACAAGGCTTTTTAAAGACAAGGTCCGGCATCATGGCATTATGATGGTAACATCCAATCAATCCATCGGCATTAGAATCCATGAAGCAATCCATAACACTTGGAATGAATGGAATCAAGAGGGGGTTAGACTGCAGCAAAATAATGATGGTATTGTGCCACTATCACGTTATTCAACCCAACGACAAAGCGAGGATATCATTTTCAAGAGGACACCCAGCACGTCTAGACCTATCTCCACTATTAATCACACAACGTGAGTGATCATAGACCTCGCGAAGATATACAACAATCCCAATATCAAATATAGTGGCGAAAAGTATGATTAACTTCACAAGAAGTTAATTGTCTTCAACGAAAACTGCCAGAAGGTCTCTCTACCAGATGAAGAACAAGTTCGAGCCTTAGTCGCTCTTACCGGTGCAGCACTCGAGTTCTACTACGATGCGATCGCTTCTCGAGCCAACAGTAATATGTCTTTTCTGGACACTATCCGACTCGTTGAGGACCACTTTGAGAGCCCCGAGATAAGGCAAGGATATCTCAGCAAGATAAACGCTACAAACCTGTAGGCTCTTATTAACGAGGCTCCTGGCAAGCCAAAAATTGATAGCTTAGAATCTCTTCTCAAGAGACCGAGGAAGATCCAACCAGGACCCGATCACGCCCTTCATACGGAAGCTGCTCTTCGAGGCCGTATCTTACTTGCCTATGATTAAATACAGGAAGGCGAACTGGCGATTCTCAAGCCCTCGCCGACGCTTCAGGACGTATGTGTAGACATAAGGATCGCCATCAAAACCCACACCAAGATATTTAAACGCCAATTCCTCCAGCAGCAAACAGAAGAGGAACAGTATTGGATGGATCGAACTTTTGGAACCGCAAGACAGGTATACCATGGCAGAAGCAACCGTGGCAACAACTTCCGTGGCCCCTACCAAAAGCACCAATTCCCAGTGCAGCAGACCCTCCGAGAATGGCCAAGAACCCCCTCGAAACAAGAAGTGCTACGTCTGCGGAAAAACAGACTGCTTGTCTCCGTCTCACTCAATTCAAGAACGACGATCAGCTGTCACGGATCAAGGAACAGGCGCTGGTGCAACTATGTGGTTGATAGTATGTAAATTATCATTCTGAAGAGAAAACTACTTCAGTCCCTATCTATACTTATATATACATTGTCTATGTGGTTGAGGCATAGTCCCTCCCTCTCGGTTCCAATAGGATTCTTCACATGTGTTGTAGCTGTATGGTCCAATACTGCTGCCCTGCCAAACTAGATGCCGATGCCTTGATATTCTGTTGAGTGGCATCATATATCCACACATTGATGTCGATCAATCGTGCGCTACCAATATCAGGCTAGGCTCATGTTGGCCAACATGCGCTACAGGAACCAATCGGCTTACCAGCCGTTACATCAGCATACAACCGACACCGGGATACAGCGTACGTGAGCCGCACAAGTCCATCACCTGAAGCATACCACGCCTTCTTGGCCGAATTTGAAGGACTTGAACTCGACAACCTAGTCGAAACTGATCACCCCGAAGATGAAACGAAACTCTTCACTGAATTTGGTGCACTCGACTACGACAATACTACGGCCACCCTCTCGAACCTAGACGACCTTACAGTCTTTCACGCCACAACGGGAATTGACCACTTTGATACGAGGACTAGTACTTCCAACAACACCTCTGTGCTTGAAGTCTTCCATGCGAACCGATAAAATGATCAAATATTTTACGGTATCCTCCCTGAAACTGGAGCCGCTGGTGTCTCTACAGCAGGTCACTTCCAGGTCAAAGCTTTACAGAAGGAGTTGCCAGGAATAAGGATCAACACAGCAACACAACAACGCAAGGAAACCACAAGATCCGCTTCGGTGCTGGCAATGCAACAGCAATTGGCACCATCGAATTCCAAGTTTTGCCCACTAATACCTCATTCCAGCTCTACCTAAAAAACTTCGACCAACTTGGCGCCGCGTATGATAACGTCAATGATGTGATTTGCTAGAATGTTAGAAAATTTCCAATAGTACGCAAGAACGGCCACCCATGGCTCCTACTGGACAATTCAAAATCGGTAGCTTGGTGTAATTTCACCGAATCAGAGCTCCGGCAACTTCACCAACGCTTTGGCCATCATTCTGTTCGCAAGCTCTCCGACCTGTTGAATGGCATCAATGAGGATTTCGATCCGAAAGTCATTGCCGAGATAAATCGAATTTGTCACCGGTATCAAACCCACCAGCGAGGCCCCCATCAATTCAGGTTCAACCCCCGAGATGATCGTATAGAATTTAACGCAGTGATCATTGTCGATATCTTCTACCTCAATTGACGCCCCGTTCTTCATGTAGTTGATTCAGCGACCTCGTTTCAAGCGGTTAGATTTCTTCCGAACATGACGTCAAATTCAGTATGGGAAGGACCAGAAGCATATTGGATTGATGTCTACCAAGGACCACCGGAGCGTATTGTACATGATGCTGGCAAGAAATTTACCTCGGATGAATTCAAGCAAAATGCGGGAGCACTTGCAGTTGAAGTCAAGGAAGTACCTGTAGAAGCGCATCACAGCATAGGGAAGGTAGAACGTTACCACGGACCTCTTCGAAGAGCCTACGAGATAATACAGACCGATTGATCGTCTCCATCTATCAAACTATGGATAGTTTGGAAGCGATCAATGTCAGATATAGAGTTTAAGGTGTTAGGTTTACAAAACTTGGAGTTACTTGTTTCGGACAAAGGTGTTTCGCTTGAGTTATAGCAATAAGAACTCTATTTCTCCTGACTAGAGATGTTTCGTTCTAAACCATGAGAAACTTGTTTCATGAGGACAAGTTGGGGACAGATAGAGCAATGCCATTTTCTGAACATACATAATCTAGATAGTATCAGAAAGAGAAAGGGCAGCCGGGAATAAATTGTCACTTTTTACATTTTACATTATTCGATTGACTCGCAGAGTCTAACACCATCAGGCATCACTCTCCAGATGGCTTTCAAAGCAGTCAACGACACTGCCGGCCTAAATGGCCTTGTACTTACTCTCCTTGTCTTCGGCTCTTACCCTCCAATTCTGAGCGACCAACCAGCAATTACTCCCAAAGTCAAACAACGAGCAATGGCAATCCAAAAGGCCATGAAAGAGTTGAGAAAAATTATGGATAAACGCAAGGTTGCTGATGCACTTGGTATGAGGAGCGGCCCCACCACCCTCGAAACCGTCAAATTGCAACCTGGTGATGAGGTATTAGTTTGGTGTGAATCAGGCAAGTGGATCAGCCTTTACAATTTACTCCATATCGCCGATGATACTTGTACTGTCGAATTACAGCATGGACCAACAATTTTCTGAATCACCTCAGTAAGACCATACTATCGTGATCCTCGTCAGCGACGATAGAATGGCAAAAATAATGATTTCCAACCAAATTCTGATTCTGAGATTGAAGCAGGCGGAGGCGACTTAGTGGAAGAACTCTCTGCGGCAGGACCATTTAAATCAACAACAAAACCTGTCAAACGGGGCAGAGGTCGACCAAGGGGCTCTAGAGTCAAGTTCAAACCACCTCAAAACGACAGCTTTCTCTCGATCAAGGAACACTATGACCTAGAACTCTTCAAACAACTTCGCCGAATTGGCAAGATCACCTATTGTGATATCATAATGTCTGTTGAATTAGTACATGATGTAATGAGAATTCCTTATGGTGTTGCTCTTAGTTCGCTGTGTAACAATGAAGTTGGAAGTGCCAACTCTTAAATGGGAAGTGGTATGCGCCACGTGGAGATAAGACGAATCTCAACAATTCTAGTTGAGAATGCGCATAGTAAGATTGAAGGATATGATAGAAACTGGGTCTAAATGTTATGTGTACATAGACCTGCTTATATAATAGAAAATAAAATCATCCGAATTTTACAATATCACCACTTCGGGTGAACCTTTTGAAGCCTCCGACCGCAAAGTAGTCGACGCATTAATTGCAGGCGGCATTTTCCGATTCGAGAATTACGACCTACTTCGCCACACTGGCCGAATCTTTAACTCGCGGATGGTAAGGGAGATCAAAAACAATAACACCGGATCGCCGTACGAGAAATCGCGACTCGTTGTCCAAGGATTCAATGACGAGGACAAATCGGTGATTCTAACCCAATCTCCTACTAAATAAAGTGCTTCGCAACGTATCATCCTGGCTCTGGCACCGGCGTTGAAAGAACGAGGAATTCGGGTATACCTGCGCGATATGATCCAAGCAAACACACAGTCGACAACAAATTTGAACCGACGGATACTTGCACATTTGCCAAAAGAGATCCAGCATCTTTATCCCCGCGGCACAATCATGACAGTCATAATACCGTTGTACGGAATAGCGGAGGCAGGCACCCACTGGTGGGCAACATACAGCAACCACCACAAGGATCAACTTGGTATGACTACCAGCACGTATGACCCATGCCTCCTTATTTCGAGTGATAACAGCACCGGATTTGGTATTGTTGGAATACAAACTGATGATACAATTAAATTGGCCGACGCTGCCTTCAATGACTGTGAGGACGCCAGCATGATTTTCAGAAGCAAACCAAATGAAGCACTCACTACCGAAAAGTCTCTGGCTTTCAACGGATGTTTCATCACCAATGCTGGTGATAGTATTGTTATGAACCAGAAAGGCCGGGGTAAAAGGATACAGCTGGTCTCAATTGACGACATCAAGTCATACATTGAACAGCGTGCTCACAGAGCATATCTCGCCACAATTTTCCAACCGGAAGCAACTTTTGACCTGTCAATTGCGGCTCAGGCAAGGGAACCCTCGAATGATGATGTCAAATTCCTTAACAGGCACCTACAGTGGCAGATCGAAAATCTTGACTGAGGCATCACGTTCCGATCACTTATACTAGAATCTACCAGGATGTACGTATTTGCCGACGGATCTTTTGCAAATAACGAGGAATTGTCGTCGCAAATCAGATTCGTGATTATTATTGGTAACGAAAGTAAGGCTAGTGCTAACTCTGGGGATCTAGACGACCTGAGCCGAAACAAAACAAAGATTCAC